TACAAAATATGCATAACAGACAAATAACACGTGCCCTTAGAAAACAGTGTTTAATACAGTGTAACATCCTTTACTTTTTTGTATTTTTATTTATTTATTTTGCCAGTTACACTTTACAAGGTTCATTAGTTAACATTAGTTAACCAGATAAGTTAGCATGAACTAATAATGAACTGCACTTATACAGCATGTATTATTCTTTGTTAATATTAATTTCAACATTTACTTTAAATCTTACTAAAATCTTGTTAACATTAGTTAATGCACTGTGAACTAACATGACCAAACAGCTGTATTTGTATTAACTAACATTAACAAATACAGTAACAAATGTATTGCACATGGTTAGTTCATGTTAGATAATATATTAATTAATGTTAACTAATAAACCTTATTGTAAAGCGTTACCATTTTGCCTGAATGGGTCAAAAGAAAGCATGACCACAGATAAAAAATTATGGGAACTACCGAATTATGCCGAATTGCCATGCACTCACAAGGGACACCATACCCTTCATTAAAACTGACATCACACGAGGAGGGAGGGAGATTTTGGGTGCTGCTGGAGAAGCAAATTTGGTATAAATAGAAGAATCCACTTCTGTGAACAGTACCACCACGGACTTACAGGAGTTGGAAACTTACAAATATACAGATTGGTCGGGACAGCAGCCTGACCCCCTCTGACTTCTGGAGCTCCGGCCTACTGGTGGGTACAGACACTTGCCTCTATGGCTTTCTGCGGCAGCATAATGCTGGTTTGGGAGTGTGTGGTATTGCTGGAATGGGTGTGAGGAGAAGATCTTGTAGATGCTACTTTGTATGCGTGTCAGTGAGCTCCTGGGCCACATTTATTAAGTCTTCTGGGATGTTTTCTGAGTGATTACACATGTGCTTGATGCTTTCTGTAGTCATTTGTTATTTATGTTAATTTTATACAGCATGTTTAGATGTATTAACATGCTTCTTTATAATGCCAATTTTTAAATGCTATGAGGAGAAGTTTCTGTGTCACTCATTCATCATTGCTCTCATTTCATCATTTCTTTACAGGCTTAGCTTCAGAAAATGGACCTCCGGGTAACAAGCATTCTCCTTCTCCTTGTGGTACTGGCTGAGGCGACCCCTGACAGATACTATCATGTGAAGAAACAGTCTTATCCTACAAAATCTCACAGTGAGTTTACATTTGGTCCATATATATCCTTAACGTATATCATAATTGTAATGTGGAATGAGTCAGAATATGTATAATAACAGCAGAAGGTGCACCATTGAGACACAGTACACTATGGGAGCTTGAGGTACATAGGGTGCCTAATGTATGTACATAAATTAATTAATATGACATTGGATGAGCCTCTTTGCAACAAACTAGATGAGATTCAGTCACTCAGGTCATTTAAGCGTACACAATATTTTGCCCACTATACAATAACTTTACCAAATAAAGTTATTGTGGAAAGACTACAAATACTGTTAGTTAATTACTTTTCAGTTGGTATACACCACAGATAATATAATCCACTACTTTAGAACATTGTAAAATCACCAAAACAGAGGTAACCACTTTATACAACAGGCATACCCAAAACAACCCACACTGTGATGTTAAATTATACCATTAGTTTCTGGACAAGCACGGTTTCAATTTTTTTATTTTTTTATTGTCTATTCCCAGCGTTTTCTAGATTATCAAACAATCCAATCCAACCGGTGCAGCACCTATGACTACATAGAATTGATTAAACAGCATATTTGATAACAAAAAAAAAACTTGCGCAGAGGGTTTTGTATCATGATAATCACCACATAGCATACATTTAAAAAAATGGCCAATTTATAAGCCACTTTAACTTTTGAGGTCAAGCTGACTATTCAGTGTTTAACAGGTTTCAGTATTTTACTAAGTACATTTTTGAGTAGTGAGGCCATTTTGGACTTCACAAGCATAGTCAAACCAATACACACACACACACACACTCCATGAGATTAAATCAATTTTAAATAAACTTTAAAATGAAAACAAGTAATACACTCACTTATTATTCTAATTAAAATATATTTCTTTTTGGTCTACAAATGTGGCTAAAATCACCAGTGAGATAGCAAACAGATCAATCAGATAAGTCTCTAATTAATAATGTACTTGAAATTAAATGAAATAGTAGCTTGTCATTTGTCAAATTTAAGTCAGTGCCATGCTACTGAGCCAAAGGTTTATGTTAAGGAATGTCGTACAAGCAATTTTAGAATTGTTATTAAATTTTTAAATGTTGTAATGTTGTGTGTGATTTATCTTATATTTTTGTCTTATTTGTAGCTGTTGCTGGTGAACATGGTATTCCAGGTTCCCCAGGTGAACCTGGCCCCCCCGGCCCATCTGGTCCACCAGGAATGCCTGGAAAGAATGGTGTTGGACACACCGGTCCGATGGGTCCACCTGGACCACCAGGTCCAGCAGGATACTCCTCACCTGGTAAACCTGGAAGCCCAGGTTCATCTGGAAAACCAGGTTCACCTGGATATCCAGGCGAGAAGGGACACCCAGGGCCTGCAGGACCTCAAGGTGCAAGAGGAGCGCCAGGATCACCTGGAAGCCCTGGACCTGCTGGCCTTTCTTCTACTGGAAAGCCTGGACCACACGGTCTTCCAGGAGCAATGGGCCCACGTGGAGAAACTGGCCTAAAGGGTCATCCTGGAATTCCTGGACTGCCAGGCCAGAAAGGAGAACCTGGCCACGGTATTCCAGGAGGACCTGGTAGCCCAGGTCCAATGGGCCCTCAGGGTCCTTCTGGTCAGCCCGGTCAGCCTGGAATTGGAAAACCAGGACCAAGTGGATTTCCTGGAGAGCCTGGAAAGTCAGGAATGCCAGGTAGGGATGGGTCACCAGGTGCTATGGGCATACCAGGCCCAAAGGGTCATACAGGGGCACCTGGAATAGGAGCACCAGGAAAACCAGGCCAGAATGGCGCTCCAGGAATGCCTGGGTCAATGGGACAAAAAGGTCCTCAAGGACCAGCAGGACAGCCAGGCGCTCCAGGTCTGCCAGGTACTGGCAAACCTGGATCACCTGGACTGCCAGGAGATCGTGGAGTGCCAGGAACCTCAGGTACAACAGGCCAAAAGGGAGAACCAGGGCCAACAGGTCACACAGGTCATCCAGGTGCTATTGGCCCAATAGGTCAAGCTGGTCCTCAAGGCTCCAGGGGATTCCAAGGAGAAGCAGGTCCACAGGGAGCTAAAGGTGACATTGGTATGGTTGGGGCACCAGGCCAAAGAGGTGCAAAGGGCGAGCAAGGGGCACAAGGCTTCTCCGGAAAACCTGGTATTCCAGGTGCAGCAGGTCCTCCAGGCCCAATGGGCCATATGGGACATCAAGGTTCCAAGGGCGAATCAGGATTTACCGGTGCTCCAGGTATCCCAGGTAGCAAGGGGCCACCAGGTGATAAGGGACATCCAGGACTTCAAGGGCAACCAGGTGGAAGGGGTGAAAATGGTATCCCTGGAGCAAGAGGACCAACAGGTCCAGTAGGACCTGCTGGTCCATCAGGGCTTATGGGTCACCCAGGACTTCCAGGCCCCCCTGGCCCTGCAGGGCTCACATCCAAGGGAATTTCTGGACCTCAGGGTCCTCCTGGTGTCCCTGGTGCCAGAGGTCATGATGGTCACCCGGGTAAACCAGGACCTCCTGGGGCACCTGGCCCCCCAGGCGAGATGGTTTACCACCACGAGAAAAGCATGCCAATTAAATCCCACGAGATGGTAATGCCTGTTAGTCACGAGCTGATGAAGGCACCCATGTCAGCATTCACAGCTCTTCTTACCACAGCTTATCCTAATGCTGGAACACCAATTGCATTCAACCAAATTGTATACAATGGAGAGAACCACTATGATCCTAACACTGGCATATTCACCTGTCAGGTTCCAGGACTTTACTACTTTTCTTTCCATATGCATGTCAATGGAGCAAATGCATTGGTAGCACTTTACAAAAACAGTGAGCCAGTCATGTTCTCTTATGATGAGTACAACAAAGGTTTCCTTGACCAGATGTCTGGCAGTGCTGTCCTCATGCTGCATTCCCATGACACAGTGTACATCCAGGTTCCCGATGACCAGTCCAATGGCATTTATGCTGATGAAAATGTTCACTGTTCCTTCTCTGGCTTCTTGATTGCCACAACGTGATAAACACACTCAAGAAAACCTCAATCTTTCTAATTCAAAAATTGTCTGCATTTATACTCATTTTCATGTTTCCCTGAGATAAAGTCATGCAGAGTAGAAAATGAAGACTGATTTAGAAATATTGTCTGTAGCTTGTTGATCTAAAGAAGACCTTGTATGAAAATATTTTGATGATGTCAATTATTAAGGAACACCAATATAAATTATCCAAGAAATTAGACAACAGACCTATTGCATTTGCCTAGAACCTGAACTGATGGTTATGTATTGAATTTGGCTATGTGTGACTTTTTCCTGAGCCCACATTTTAGCATAAGTTTCCTGTGTTGAGTTTGCTTTGAAGACACATGCTCTTTAAGACAAATTAAGTGAGACAGGTTTTGAATTAAATGGATTTCAAAGTGAATAATTATAATTGTGAGTCGTTGTTTTTTCCTTTTAACTCTGTAATGTCACAAGGTGTGCATCATAATAAATCAACACAAATATCTTAGGCTAACTTAAAATTTTTATTGTGATAGCCAATAGAACCCATTATAATCAGTGATGCTGTCTACACTGGATGAGGCACAGACCGACATGACAAATTCCCAACTGTAAACTGATACCCCGTTTTATTTCTGATAAACTTCAAGCGCTTGCGCTACTTCTGACACAACAAGTGGATATGCAACGGTTGCTTCGTCGCGTCTGGTGTAGACATGGTGTAAGACCTTTATAGACATTATACAATATCAAAATTAAATTACATTTTAAAATACTGATTACAAATAGTAAGAGGGTATAAGAGGGTTTTTTCTACATACCCCGAAATGCAGATGTGTTGTAATTATGGTCAATTGCAGCAACAATGTCTTTCCACAAGTCAGATGTGATTTCGACTCCTTGCTAGGGTTAAAAAAAAAAAAAAAATTTAATTATAAATGAAAACATTAACAACATACGTTTTTGTTATACAATTTAACGTTCACAATACAACTAAATTAACAAATGCTACTTCTAATTTGAAATAGAAATATAGCATTTTTGAAAAACACTGAATTAATTAAATTATTTTTACCTTATGCAACATATCCACCACTCTTGCACAAAGAAGGGCACCAGGGAGGTCAAAATAGTTGTCATAAAAATAGTATTTTGCTGCAACAAATGAGTGAACTAAATCACATATTTAGGTAAAGACAGTTATTTGAAAATATGATAAAACACTGAAAAACTGCAATTGATAATAAATATAATAAATAATATAGTACAATATATATATATAAAAAAAGTAACCTCAAATTCAATAAGCAAATTATTGTTATATTGTCATCAGAAATTTTAAAATTAACTAGCTGAAAAAAAGCTGCCTTACCAGATCGTGTGTACGAGGTATTAAGGCTATTAAAATGCTTCCATTCTCTTTTTGGACCATAATGCTTTATGATGTCATCAGTACTCAGGTTTTTAGTGCCATGAGTTGCCCTACAAATAAGAGTGTTTTACATAGATTAACAGCTTAATCTAAAGGGTTAGCAATTTAGATATTTTATTATCCACAGTACAAATGACCCTTTTTTTCTTTACAAAAAAGGAGCAATAAAATCTACTGCCGAGTAATCTTTCAAATACACACGCCATATTAAAATTGACTCACCGCAAGACAGTGCCATCCGCTGCCAGCTTGACCAGGTTACCCTCCTCAAGGTCCACCACAAGACCTTTAAAACTGGTCACATGACAACAAGCAACAATGTTTGTGTACTAGAGAGACAAACAAGCTCATAAAAGGGTAACAACTGCTTTGTTTGGAAACAAACAGCTTACATAAACGACAGGATTATGGATATATTAATACCCAATTCATATAATTTTCACAATTTACAAGAATACCTGCTTGAAACAAGAATCAATTTGTTCGTATTTCAATTTTGAACATAAGCCATGTTCATGAGATGTTTAAATTTCCAGTCCACACAGCTTAAATGGTGCTGGCCATATGAAAAATGGGCAAACAAGGTCATTATTCCAAATTGTCATGCTTCAGATCATTTTTAAGATACTCTGACTTTAAGAATAAGAAATCACTAGGGGTGAAAAAGGTGAGACTATTATACATGAGGAAATACTTTACTGGGAATTTCTTGCAGAAAAAAACAGGTATACTTGAGCATTCTGTCTATATTAGGGGTCGCATCTTGTGACATCATGTCCTGTTTTTGGTTTGTTTACATGTCTTTGGTCCGTCTTGCATTCATATTTCAGTAGAACTGCACCAACGTTCGCCTGAAAGCATCGTCTTGTTTGGTGTGCACCAGGGTTCAGATCGATGGGTTCACACTTATTCAAATGAACCACACTAACAGTGCAATCGCACCAGGGTTCGTTTTAATCCAACCGAACATGACAAGTGTCAATACACTGGCTCTTATTTGTTTTCATACATCAAATATTCACATTTACAATAACATTGCATAACTTGCATCATATTTTTATAATAACAATTATTCATTTTAAAGCACTCACATTAACATTTTTTTTTTCTTCATGTAACAGTCTTAAATGTAGTTAACATCCAACTGTATGCTGCTGTTTAATGTATACATGGTATTTTGTATTTACATCTTCAAAATAATAATTAATAAAGTTATCAAAGAAAAAAATTGTTGAATTCAGACGCACAATTTCAGTTATGTAATTGGACATTCTTTAATACACAACTGGCCACTATTGTAGTCAAAATGCACCCAGAACAACAAGTGTCAAAAATGTGTTTGCGCATCAACTTAGGCGACCGATTCTGCTATCAAAATGGTGATTTTCACCAATGGTGAAGAGTTTGCATGCTTGGGTTACTCTGAGTTTGAGCTCATGACCATGTTGAACAATTAATAAATAATTATAATTCTGAACTATCCTGTACAACAGTGGTTTTCAATCTGTCTCAATCAGCTCCCTAGTTCAGTAGTCAGGGCACTGATCCAGGAGTCGGCGATTTGAAGGGCCGTCTCAATCGCAAAATATCTTCCAGTGCACTGAAACGTTCGCTCTCTAAATGGTCCCACAATGCACCGTGATTAACCAAGGAGCATTGATGCTCAATATGTTCCCTTAACGGAAGTTCTGAAGCGATGAAACAAATAACGCAATGGAAAGCACAGGATTGTGGGATATCAAAGGATACATCTGAGATACCTTCTGAATTTGTGAAGGCAGCATTAGAGACAGGAAGTGACAGACATGCCTTGATGACTTTTTACCTTGGAATGCATCCTCCGAATGCAATATTTTTAAGATTTTAGATGCAGCTAACATTTATAATTATTTTACGGCTGAAAATTATGGTAGGTAAATGTAATAATCAAAGTATTTATTATATAGAAGAATATCAGCTCTGCTGTTGTTCATAAATACCAGTATTGACATTGTACAATGTGGACGTTATCATCTAACCGTTGCTCTCAGCAGTGTGGGCGGCATCAGATGTTCGATAACAGTACATCTCTGCTAATGTATTTCGAACTTAATTTTACCCCTAAACAAAGAACTTCACCGTGAGTGTATCGGAGCCTTTACTGTCCTTACCAGTGCCCGAAATTCATGTACACGATATACTGATTCACGACCTAGGGAGCTGAATGAGGGGCTGTTTACACAACACCATTTTCAACTAAGAACTGAAAACTTTTTATGTGTTTTGGACATTCATTTACACGACCACAGTGTTTTGGGGCCTGAAAACAAAATTTTGAAAACGGGTTTCAAAGTACAAGATTTTGAAAAATATCCCTTTATCGTTTCGTTTCTGTAAAAAAAAAAGAATCTGTTATCTGCTTGACAAATAATTTATGCTATTGCCCACTGACATGCTTTTAAAGCTATTGTTATCCAATTGTTTTGACCTTCAAACACCTTAAAATGCACACATGAAATCCAAATTTTCTCGGGGGAGTATGCCCCCGAACTACCTCACATTTCAATGTGCGTGACTATGTGGTAATGTGGGCTGGTGTGGTTACAGTGCCAGGGATGGATTTTTTTAACCAGTCTGCCCCCTGCATATAGGCATGCAATATACATTATTCTCTGTATCGAATCATGTTATCTTATTACCCACCCCAGCCCCTGATGTTTCGGGCTCAGCCCCTGATGTTTTTAAAACCTAGAAACGCCCCTGGTCACCAAACGCAAAACTTCCACAAAGAAAAAACGTTCCTAAGAAGCGTAAAGCAGCTAATGAGCTCATGATCTGAATCAGGTGTGTTATGTGTGTGTGAGAGAGAGAGAGAGAGAGAGAGAGAGAGAGAGAGAGAGAGAGAGAGAGAGAGAGAGAGAGAGAGAGAGAATATATATGAGTGTCAGTGTGTGTTTGCACGTGTGTCATAGTACATGTCTAATTGTTAAGTCTGGGCATTAAAACCATGGTTTCATGCAGGTATTCTTGGACATTTTAATGACTGACTTTCTGTGTGTGTGTATTGCTGAAACAACTCACCAGAAATCCCAATCGGCAGGTGTTAAATTAAGTAGATCTTTATCATATCCCTTGTGTTCCACAAGATACCCTGCAAAACTCTCATAGATCAGCTGCACACAGACAGAAGAAGAAATAAATGTAAGTACTAACATGAGGTGCAGTGACATGAAGATGTCAGGCCTAACCATAACTGAAGCATCATCTCGAGCTATTAGAGGTAAACTACACGTCAGATGCGATGCATGAACGTCCTCCTAGAATGACAGATAAAGTAGGCACTCATCTCACATTCTCAGTGTGTTTTAACGAGGCCTGCCGGACAGATCGATGCTTTAGATCCGCGCATCAACACGCGACTGTTCCAGTAATGTAACGCAAACAGAACACACAGCCTATTTCCGATTCTGATTTATTATAACCATGTGTCCGCCATATTCTGCGTGTAAGGTCGGTTGTGTGATGATATGCATGATGATGCCAGCACGACTCACCCTGGAGGTTTCCTTCAGATAGTATCGACAGAGCGTGTGGTCCAAATCAAAGCCGATCACATCACACTCCGATAGCGAGAAGTATTCGCTCATTGTACAGCCTTTAGGAGGAATGGCTATGTGAACTGTAAGATTACAGAATCGCGATGACTTCCAGCTGTCGATGCAGCTCGCTCGGTGGCGGCAGTCTGCAATGTATTTGTCTGTTCTGCAACACGTGGGACAGCGGCGACAACAGTGTCTACAAAAGACTACAAGCCGCGTTTAGAAACGGCTCACGGAAGGCGCAGTCACCTGCAAAACGCGTACCGGCATTTATCGCGGAAACACTCCGGTGCCGGTTATAACATTGCATATGAACAACGGGTCTTTTGTATCTTGCTTGCTTACACAAGACACGAACGTACGAATATCTGAATATTCGCGCATTTCCGGGTGTTGTTACCGTAATAACGTGAACAAAATGGAACGTCGCACGTCACTTCTAATTATTAAACATTTGTCAGTTATGCATGGATGAAGCTGTACATTGTAAAATAAAATAAAAATCATTATTCTCGAGAATAAAATGCTGTGGGTTTTCCACTCATTGCTAAGCAACGTTTTCCAGGTAAACCCTATACCTTACACAGGGACAAAATGTCCCCACAAAGATGGCAATATCCGAAATCCTTGGGGACATTTTTTGTTCCCCATGAGGAAACAAGCTTATAAATCATACTAAGTGATTTTTTTGAAAATGTAAAAATGTAGAAAGTTTTATGTGATGGGTAGGGTTAGTATAAGGGGATAGAATACAGTTTGAACAGTATAAAATCACGTCAAGTCACCTTAATACTGTGATGCCATTGATATATGTGCATGGGTTTGTATTTAATGTATTAAGATCGCATTAAAACATATACAAAACATACAGCAGTGGTCAACAGTGATGTCAGGCCTAATAAAATGTAGGGTCATTAAAAACAGAGATCCCCTCTGGACATACCAAATATTTAACTGTTGATTATACTTTTTTCAGTAAGAAAGCATGTTTCATTTTTGTGATCTACTACAAATGCAAACACTGTAGCACATCTGTTTGATCTTGACTTTATACTAGTTGGTTAAAAGTAATTGCAAGAATGGCTCAGAGAAAGTTGTTCTGAAAGAGCTCTAGCATCATTTGTTTGTAAATGCCACTTGGTTGAATAATATATCCAGTGAAATGACATACATTTTAAGTGTGGGTGAATTCTCCAAAAACTTTTTAAGGGCCACACAGAACAAGTCATCTCTTATGTATTTCCAGAATGAATTTATCCAACAGCTAGCCCTATTACAAAAATATGATATTTGGGATTTTAGTTTAAAGGGCAGAATTCAGAAAATGTTTGACAACTGCACAAATATGAACACAACTAGACTCATTTGGACTATATAAGCTATTCCGATTTTATAATCTTCAGATGTGATCCCATTTCAGGTTTGAATTTCCATTCTCTTCCTTTTTTGACTCATTGAAACTTTGCTCACTGGTCATTAGATAATTTTTTCATTCACCTGAAGTAGGAAGTAGTTGTGTTTTTTCTCACACTCACATGAGGGTGGCAGACATCGCTTTCATCATGAAAATCAGTGTGCGTCCTAATACAGCCTAAATTTCAGAGATCATGGCTACATTAATTTGTTCTTTGGAACAACAAAACTGTGGGCAAACGGACAGCCCACAGTGCCAATTTAAGATATTCTTTTTGCCTTTCTTTGCACTGTCAATAGGCTATCTGAAAAGGTCGTAAAATGTTTTCTGTTTAAAATTAATATAGGCCCACAAAGATTTATTGTGTGTAAAATTTTTTTTTTTTTTTTAAGTTACTGTCCATCAGTGGCATAATTTGTCACCAACAAACTATTTTGCCCCTAGTAAAGTTTTTACGGGGAGCGAGACATTTAGGAGTAAAACACAAAAGCTAAAACACTCATAATGCAAAACTAAACTAAATCAGTTCCAACCTCCCTAAATAGCCTGAAACAGATTTTTATTCAAACTTGCGACTAAATTGTGGTGGTTACAAAAATATATAAAGAGATATTATATTTAGTGTCATCAGAATATGTAGTTGTCATTGAAAAAGAAATTGAATGTCATTAATGCATACTGTATGATTTTGGATGATAGCGATTGATATTCCTTGCCTATGGGCGATCGATCATTCAATTACTTTTGCCTTGGGACATGTTCCCATCCTGGGGGAGGGGGCGCGCTGTGCAGACAAAATAGATTGCAGCAGCTCCATGTTCTGTGTATTTTATTGACTGTATATCTCCCCTTACCAGGTGTGACATGAGTAAATTGTCGTGGAAATACATTTTGTATAAGTCAAGGCTGTGAAAAATGGCAAATGTCATTCTTTGAAGTGTAATAATTGTTCGTATATTGATTCTAAAAGATCGGTTCAAGTTAACCATGTGTATCACGTGTGCAACTGGCGAATGCTAAACTGATGGCAGAGACCATGCGGTTACAGAAATATGAAAAACAATATTATTTGTGTTTTTGAGAACTAATGTAACAGTTAAGAGTCAGAAGTTGCAGGTGACAGTGCTTAAAAAAGGGATCTGTTGGTTCATAAGAGAAAGTGTAATGAACGTGTTCACACTAATGGTGTGTAAAGAGAGAATTATTTTTGCTGACACATGCTATAATTCCAGAGCTAATTTAAGAAGTTGAGAGTTGAAGGCAGAGTATCATATGTGAATATTGTATGCAATATACAGTACATAGTATTATTAATGTGCATTGTAATCCAAGTGTCTATTGAAATTATTTGTTAATTTGTGGAAACAGTACATGATGAGAAGATGTATGCGAGTAATTCTGTATTTTGTGGCTTTTTCTAAAGAGTTAATCTGATATATTGATATATGAGAATGCAGAAATATTTGCATTAGTGCAGAAAATACAGAGATCCAGAAGATGTTGCAGCTCCGTGTCCAGTGTCTTTTATTGACAGTATAACTTATCTCCCCTTACCAGGCGGTGACTACATAATCATTTAAAATTTTATTTTCATAATGTAAAGATAAGCGTGTGGAATACTGAACTCTGTAAACGCTTTTACCTGTTCTAGTGCTAGAGACTGTAAAATCATCAGTAATACCCCACTTATTTGCCTTGCACAACTGTTCGCTATTCTGAAATGGGTTGATGTATGATGTTATTTTGCTGTCATATCATTAAATTACTTTTTATTTAAGAAAAATATCCAAAAGAATAAATAATAGCAATAGCCTCTAGCTAATCAGTAATGCATAGTTTTGTATGGGTTTGTGAAATGATCGGTTTGATTTATATTCATAGCAAAATGTAGGTTATATATAGTAACAAGACAGATGCTGTTTTCTGCAAGTGTTTTTTATCCTCTGACACACACCAAACATTCAGATGTACAATGCACAATACAGAATTTTATGCAAACATGCAATAATTTAATACATAAAACTTACTTTATGGATTTCTCACTTAATGTCTTTGCTACTGACCTGTGATGATTTAATCATACAAATCACCATAAATGACTTCACTTCAGTGCTTGAATTTCACTCATAAAAATCTGTACGAACCCTGAGTCCCTCCAGGGCTGGATTTGAGGAACCTTGCTAAAAAGTATTTGAATTCCCATTAGGATCAAATTTGTTATTTATATTGGATCCCTTCTGAATTTTTATTAGGATTATAATTTTTTGCCCATTTCAGAGGTTCTGAGCTCAGTAGTTAAAATAATTTATTTTTACATTATGACTGTCTGCGATCTCCTGGAGGGTTATAAAGTGGAATACCACATCTTCTAATGGTAATTTCCCATTGAGGTAAGTTGTACCAAATGCAAATTGAAACATTTTGTTTAGGGTTGTATGTCTTCCATTTGAATTTGTTATTCATAGAATCTCATGTATATAAATATTTTTATATATAGTTTCCTATAAAGGTATCTGCCACTATCAGGTAACCCAGCTTTATTGCCTCCCCAAAGTCAAATTTTGCGTTTGGACCTTATCTGCAGGTGAATCACATGCTGATACTTTGGGCTTCAAATATTAAATGGATGGCCTTATAGTGTAACTCTACTTTGAGAAGTCACTTACCTGGTATTACTTACCTGGTGAAACTGGTAAAACGAGAGGCTTAATGTCTCTAGAACTGAAGCATAATAGGAATGGTTAATGTTTCCAAATTATCACGTTTCCCTGATAAAACAACACATTGTGTTTATTTTCAGAAACATTTTGTTTTTAATGTGGCACACAGGTGTATATATAAATTGGCTGGAACTTATTTGGCAACTGTGGCACGAACCTCTGCACCATAAGGAGGAAACTTTGTAGTCATGTCAGGAACCTCTGGGAAGCTCAGCAACCTGAGCTTCTTTGACACAGAGCTCTAGAACCGTAGCAGGGACTGGAGTTGCAGCAGAATGAACCTTCACAGTGATTCTGTGGAGCCTCAGCAGGTTTTGGAGCAGCAGTGACAGGAAACTTTATGGCTGTCTTCACTGGGAATTCTGGAGCAGCCCTGACAGGATCTCTGGGCCCAAGGCAGCTGAGAAAGAGAGCTATGTGAAACCCCCTCTCTGGGACCCGGATGCCAGTGGCAGAAACTTCTAGGGCGTCAGTGCGAGGAACTTGTGGAACGGGCTGAACAGAGAGCTCTGGGTGACTCCATTGTTAAAAATATGATTGGATGGTGCAGTACTTAACTAAAACTAAATGAACTATTTACAATATACATCCCTAGGCAAGTAGTTCCACAAGACGCTAAAACTACCACCTCAAGCCAAGGCGCCAGACGCAACCAAGGCCTGCCAGCCCCGCAAGACGCTGAGGCTGGAGAGATGGGGGGGGCTAACCTAACTGAGTAAAACTAAACTAACTATTTACAATATGCACACATCCCTAGGCAAGTAGTTCCGCAAGACGCTAAAACTACTGCCTAAAGCCAAGGCGCCAGACGCAACCGAGGCCTGCCAGCCCCGCAAGACGCTGAGGCTGGAGAGATGGAGGGGTCTTCTGTGTCAGCCCGCCAGACGCAAGGCTAAACCCTCTCCATGACCTGAAACACAATTAGAAAGCATTTTTCATAAGGTATACAAAATACATCTGTGCCATGTATAAGGATTGAGTATATGACAGTTACAGCAGGTACTGAATGGTAATGTAAAGAAGCTGATGTCCATATTCAGATAATCAAGCCAAAAAATCCCCAAAATAGGCCAATATAAATATATCTTCAAAATCATTTTAGCTTGTCTTAGACTCTGTACCTTGAACCAGTCATGGGAGAGCATCTCATCCAGATGGAGTCTCCGCTTTGGGTCGCTCTTCAGGCAACCTCGAATAAAGCGGCAGCAATCTGTGCAGAAAGACTGAGAGTTGTCTAATTGTTTCC